TGGCCATTCACATATCTGATTTTGTGAAATGTCTATTCTAGTCTTTTACCCATTCTAAAAACTAGATGGTTTATCTTTTTTAGTTTTAGGAATTCAATATATTTTGGATATGAGCCTTTTATCAGTTTCTACCAGTTTGACTTTTCTTTTTGTTAACTGTGTTTTTGAAGGGCATTCATTTTTAATTTTGGTGAAGTCTACCATTTTCTCTTTTTATATTAATAGTTTTAATACTTATGTTAAGGCTTTTTATTCATTTTGAGTGAATTTTTGCATATGGCATGCAGTGAAGATAGAGGGCTTTTGTTTTCTAATTATGTATTATAGCATTGATATGGGTGAGAGCATATTACTAGAGTCAGTTCTTGCATAAGGAAATGAGGAGGGGCACCTGGCTGGCTCAGTTGGTAGGCCATATGACTTTGATCTTGGGATTGTAAATTTGAGGCCCATGTTGGGTGTAGATATTACTTAAAAAATAAAGTCTTTTTTTTTTTTTTTTAAGGAAAGAAAATGAGGATAAAATTTTGAGAGGGACAGGACAGATCACATAGGAGACTTCTAGTTAGTGACTAGAAAACAATTATAAAAGAAAGAATTCAGAAGGGGGACAAGAAAAGAGCTCTTCACAAAAGAGAGCTTCGGTACCAGTTATTTCAGACATAATAAAAGGGAAACATGAAAACTGAAGTTGATGGCAATGACAGTTTCTATATTTAGAAATGATAGTATCATAATCAAAACACTGCAGTAAATCAAATTTCAAAGCAAGAATGGCTGTTTTCTAGCCTTTGTTTCACTAAATGTGTACTTTGCCGTTTAGCCATGTAAAATTCAACTGCAATCAGATAAAGAGACCATCTATAGATACTATACAATTCTAGATCAGTTAGAGTTGAGAGGCCCAAATCAAGTACATCTCTGAGAATATAACAAATAGGGGCTTTTATGTATTTATTTTAAAGATTTATTTATTTATTCATTCATTCATGAGAGGCAGAGACATAGGCAGAGGGAGAAGCAGACTGCCTGCAGGGAGCCTGATGTGGGACTCAATCCCAGGACCCTGGGATGACGTCCTGAGCCAAAGGCAGACACTCAACCACTGAGCCACCCAGGCATCCCAAGTAGGGCTTTTAAAAGTGAAATAGGGGATGCCTGGCTGGCTCAGTTGGAGGAATGTGTGACTCTTGATCTTGGAGTTGTAAGTTTGAGCCCCACATGGGATGTAAATATCACTTAAAAAACTATTTTTTTAAAAAAGTGGAATACTATTAGCCCAGTTCCTATTCCTATAGGCAACCACTTTCAACTCATTTAACTGAGTCTATTGGTGTTTATTCCCACATTTTATACAGCTATTTTATCTACTTTTGATTTAAACATTTTAAGATAGTATCAGCTTAGGAGCACTTGGCTGGCTTAATTGATAGAGCATGCAAATCTTAATCTCAGGGTTGTAAATTCAAGCCCCACATTGGATATAAAGATTATTTAAAAATAAAATCTTTGGGGATCCCTGGGTGGCGCAGCGGTTTGGCGCCTGCCTTTGGCCCAGGGTGCGATCCTGGAGACCCGGGATCGAGTCCCACGTCGGGCTCCCGGTGCGTCGGGCTCACGGGAGCACGGGCTCCCTCCCCTGCTTCTCCCTCTGCCTGTGTCTCTGCCTCTCTGCCTCTCTCTCTCTCTGTGACTATCATAAATAAATAAATATAAATAAATAAATAAATAAATAAATAAATAAATAAATAAATAAATAAATAAATAAATAAGGAAAAAAAGTAAAATCTTCTAGGGACACCTAGGTGGCGCAGTTGGTTAAGCATCTAACTCTTGGTTTCACTTCAGGTCTGATCTCAGGGTCCTCTTCAGTGGAATCTGCTTAACATTCTCTTCTCTCTCTGCCCTTCCCCCTTCTCTCTCTCTCTCAAACAAAATCTTTTAAAATATGTAATTTATGGGCAGCCCGGGTGGCTCAGCAGTTTAGTGCCACCTTCAGCCCAGGGCTGAAGATTCTGGAGACCCGGGATCGAGTCCCACGTCAGGCTCCCTGCATGGAGCCTGCTTCTCCCTCTGCCTGTGTCTCAGCCTATCTCTGTCTCTGTGTCTCTCATGAATAAATCAGATCTTTAAAAATAATAATAATAGGGGATCCCTGGGTGGCTCAGTGGTTATGGCCTGCCTTTGGCCCAGGGCGCAATCCTGGAGTCCCGGGATCGAGTCCCACGTCAGGCTCCCTGCATGGAGCCTGCTTCTCCCTCTGCCTGTGTCTCTACCTCTCTCTCTCTCTATCATGAATAAATAAATAAAATCTTTAAATAAAAAATAAAAAATATGTAATTTATATAATCAGCTTGTTAACATGAAAGATGGAATTGAGATAATTTCCTGCATTCATTTTCCTTTGTGTTTTCTCTGGAACTCCTTTAAGAAATGTTGAATCTCCTGGATGCCTCCACTAACCCACTAATTTTCCAATCATCATTTCTTTCTCCCTTCCTTTTTTTTATTCTGGGAGGTTTCCTGGACCTTTCTCTCCCAAGCTGTTGAATTTTTGAGGTAAACATCATATTGTTTATTTGCAAAAGCACTTTTTATAGAACCCTGTTAATATTTAAGTGTTATACAAGCTCTTAGCTTTCTGTAGTACTAATTATAGTATTGTATGTATGTGTTCTTTTGTTCCTTTCCTTATTTTTTCCTACTTGTTTTGATCTTTCACCTTAGAGCTTTCATAAAATTTTTGTGATCTTTAGTGCTATATTAATATTTAACATTGAAGTACCAGAAATATTACTGTAGTAGGTATGCATGGTTGGAGCTTATAAAATGGTGGGCTTTGCTGTGCATCATTCAATCAGATATCTAGATATTTCTTTTTTTTTTTTTTTTTTTTTTTTTTTTTTTTTAAATTTTTATTTATGATAGTCACACACACACAGAGAGAGAGAGAGGCAGAGACACAGGCAGAGGGAGAAGCAGGCTCCATGCACCGGGAGCCCGACGTGGGATTCGATCCGGGGTCTCCAGGATCACGCCCTGGGCCAAAGGCAGGCGCTAAACCGCTGCGCCACCCAGGGATCCCTAGATATTTCTTTTATAGGACTCCAAATGTTAGTATCTATAAATGTTCTCATGGTCTTCTCATTTTTTTCAGAAAAGAACCCTTCTGTTGTCTGACACCAGTAACCCCAGCATTTCTAACGAGCATCACTAGAAAGGGGTTAGGACCCTATTCTGCATAAGAACTTTTACTCATTACCTTGTTTTCAGTATTATAATCTTCTTTGCCTATCATCAGTAAATTTGGAGCCTCCTATTTATACTTTGGATAATAAATTCCTATTTCCTTCCAGTTAAGATCGGGTACATCGGCTGCTTTTTTTTTTTTTTTAAAGATTGATTGATTGATTTATGATAGACATAGAGAGAGAGAGAGGCAGAGACACAGGAGGAGGGAGAAGCAGGCTCCATGCCGGGAGCCCGACACGGGACTCGATCCCGGGACTCCAGGATCACGCCCTGGGCCAAAGGCAGGCACTAAACCGCTGAGCCACCCAGGGATCCCCCCCGGCTGCTGCTTTTATAATCATTTTTTATAAGTCTCACCTTCCATTCTCACCTAGTCTATCCAGTTATAGAGCCTTTGTGTTGACAAATTACCTTGTTTCTAGGTGGCACCGTCTTCTGTGGGCTTTTAAGTCATTCGATTCTGCTGTTAATTTATAATTCTTTATTTTCTGTCCTTCCAAAATTTCCTAAAACATCTCATCCACTGGTGTCTCTCCAGCCTCTTAATGCTTATGAGTATATGCCCTTCATCCTCTTAATGTCATTTTAATGGACTTTCAGAAAGATAGAGATTATCTTATTTAATCACATATCCTCTTTAATAATTCTTCTATTCATATTATTTTTTTCCTTTCACCCAAGGCTCTCCCAGTTTTATGTGTCTGTCCTTTCATCCTGTTTGTCATGGGGTTTTTATGTTTTATTTTACTTATTTATAAAGTGTACAAAGTTACATTAAAAGCTGTTTAAGGGACACCTGAAAAAAATAAATTTAAAACATTTTAAAAGGGGGGGGTGCATCTGAATGGCTCAGTCAGTTAAGTGTCCAACTCTTGATCTAGCTCAGGTCTTGATCTCAGGGTTGTGAATTGAGCCCCACATAAAAAAGCAGTTTAAGCTACATGCAACTGTAAATGTTACTTGTGTTTAAGCTTTCTTTTATACTGGTAAACTAGGTTTGAAATAAAGAGTCTGTTTTACAATATCACATTTCTGAAATTTCATTAATAACATTGGAAAAAATCACAAGTGTTAGTGGTATTGATGATGACAGCTACTTTACTGGATTTTTACTTCATGTGAGGCACTAAATATTTTAGTTATAGCTCTTTTCAATTATGATTTTTTTTGTATTCCCTTTTAGAAAAGGACTGGGAAATTTATAAATAGATAAAGACACAACATGGAAGACATGTGAGTTGAGTCTCATTCTTCTCCAGGAAAATACAGCTAAGAAAAAATTCAGAAAACCTGGGTAACAGAAAGTACTTCCTCTGAGCACAGACACTGTTTCTTTAAGACTATATGTATGGGACTTAAGGGAACTTTGAACATAATATAAACATATAAGAGAAGCTATCTAAGAAAGAACCATTAAGAATACAGTGATGTCATATAGTTAATCCCAGTCTGTAATTGTCTAATCTCAGGATAAGCAATGTGAAGTCTTTGAACATAAATTCAACTTCATTAGCTACCTGGGGATTAATTTTGGAGAGAAACCATATGAATCTGATGAATGTGGAAAATCTTTTGTCTATGTCACATGTCAAGAGTTACTGAGGAATTCTTGTTGGAAAAAATATCTGTGCATGATAAAAATGTTAGAAAGCCTTCAGCCTGAAGCAGATCTCCTTCAGCATGATCAAATTCATAGTAGAGAGAAACCTCATGAATGCGATGAATGTGGAAAAACCTTTAACCTGAAGCAAAACCTCATAGAACATAAGAAAATGCATACTGGAGAAAAGTCACATGAATGTACTGAATGTGGTAAAGTTTTCTCTCGAGTCTCATCCCTTACTCTACATTTGAGAAGTCATATGGGAAAGAAACCATATAAATGTAATAAATGTGGAAAAGCCTTCAGCCAGAAAAGAAACTTCCTTTCTCATCAGAAACATCATACTGGAGAGAAACTTTATGAATGTGGGAAAGCTTCTATTCAGATGCCAGGCCTCATTAAACACCAGAGAAATCATACTGGAAACAAACCCTATACATGTAAGGAATGTGGAAAAGCCTTCAATGGCAAATCATATCTCACTGAGCATGAGAAAATCCATACAGGAGAGAAACCATTTGAATGTAATCAATGTGGAAGGGCCTTCAGCCAGAAGCAATACCTCATTAAACATCAGAATATCCACAGTGGAAAGAAACCCTTTAAATGTAATGAATGTGGAAAAGCCTTTAGCCAGAAGGAAAACCTTATTATCCATCAAAGAATACATACCGGAGAGAAACCTTATGAATGCAAAGGGTGTGGGAAAGCTTTCATTCAGAAGTCAAGCCTCATTAGACACCAGAGAAGTCATACGGGAGAGAAGCCCTATATATGTAAAGAATGTGGGAAAGCCTTCAGTGGCAAATCAAATCTCACTGAGCATGAGAAAATTCATATTGGAGAGAAACCCTATAAATGTAATGAATGTGGAACAATCTTTAGGCAGAAGCAATACCTCATTAAACATCACAATATTCATACAGGAGAGAAACCCTATGAATGTAATAAATGTGGAAAAGCCTTCTCTAGAATCACATCACTCATTGTGCATGTGAGAATTCATACAGGTGATAAACCTTATGAATGTAAAATATGTGGGAAAGCCTTCTGTCAAAGCTCATCTCTTACTGTTCATATGAGAAGCCATACAGGTGAGAAGCCCTACGGTTGTAATGAATGTGGGAAAGCCTTCTCTCAGTTCTCAACTCTTGCTCTACATATGAGAATCCACACTGGAGAAAAACCTTATCAGTGTAGTGAATGTGGCAAAGCTTTTAGCCAGAAGTCACATCATATTAGACACCAGAGAATTCATACTCACTAAAACTCTATGAATGCCTTGAACTTAGCAAAACTTTCATCAGAACACACATTTAATGTTACACTGAAGATTTGTTTTATAATAAAGTGACATGAATGTGGGAAATACTTCACCAACAACTCAAAACTTAAATACTAACAATTTTAATAAGTATCTTAATATCATGAAAACTTAGGTACTCCCAGAACTCCCACAACAAACATTGTTAATGATGTACTGTTAGGAGCAATCTAATTGAAGTAAGGATCCAGTCATGAACACCAAGCAACATGGTTCTGGAAGGCCTACCTGATGCATTAAGAGGTATAAAGATTTGACATTAAGAGAACTGTCATTTTAAAAATGTTTTGCTACATATGTAATGAAAATTATTTGTTCTTGGTGCATTTGTAGAAATCAGAAATTGGAACAGAATATTATCTTCTGAAACATGCATGCCTTTATGGGGAATTGTTAACTGATAGAGGTGGTATCACCAGTTGGTAGGGAAATCATGGATGATTCAAAAAATGGTCTCAGGGTAACTGACTCTTCATGTGGAAAAATATTAGATCTCTGCTGTAGTAATACATTATTTATTATAAAATCCAAAAGTACTGAAGATTAGAATGCAAAAAGCAAAACTTAGTAATATAAGAATTTTATAGGAGAATGTTTTTAAAACCTTGGAGTAGGAGGGAATTTCTAAAATAGATTCCAGAATACTCACTCTTGAGTATACATGCATATCCCCACAAAACCGATACATATACCTAGGGAGTCATGTACTTCTGTGCTCATTGAAGCACGAATTATATTAGCAAAAAATTGGAAACAAATATCTGTTGCTTGTGAAATGGATAAATAAAATGTGATAAGAGCACACAGAATATTCTGAGTAAAGTATAACAGGTTTATATATATATATATATATATACACACACACACACACACACACACACACACACACACACACACATAGAAAGACCTGAAAAATCATGTAGAGTGAAAATGAAGGGATAAATATAATCGTAACTGAATTTGAATGAAATTAACACTAGCAAACACTAGTATTAAGCATTGATTATGAATAAATATTTTTATGTAAATCTAAAGAATGAATTGGAAGGATACACACTCAATTTCCAAAAGAGGTTGCCTCTAGAAAGAAAGGTAGTGGAAAAGAAATAGCTAAAAGATACTTCAGTTTTGTATCTATATAACTATGATTAAAAAGAAATAAAGACTCCAGATTACTATAACAAAATGATAGTTACGTCTGGGTTGTAGTAATGTGTTTTATTGTTTGTACTATTTCTGAAAATTAAAAAAGATAAAGATAGGACTAGGAAAGGTGTACATGGAGTACATGTAATATAGACTCACAGTCCAGATAGATGCTAATATTTTATAGGAAATATTTCTAAAATAATACCTTTACTATAAGTCATTTTTGAAAATTGGGATGGTAGCTTAAATTATTTAAATTTACTCTTGCATGTGACGTCACTAATCTGTGTGATCTCTTAGAAGTTATAGCATGATTGTGCAACAGGTTGGTTGGATTACATTCATTTAAAGATCATTTAATAATATATGCACAGACTTGATATTAAAAATTGGTTTCTACTGAAATATTTATTAGAAATCTTAAAAGTCCACATACTAGTGTTGGCATTAAGAATTTGATATTTTTAAAATGAGGAAACTAAGTTACTCTCAAACTTTTAAACATGCCACTAAGTAAAATGTCAATTCTCGTGTATCTCACCTTCAATTTTAACCTCAGACTTTTTTTTCTTTATCTGCCAGATACACTCAATCAGTACCCCCTGTTTGTTTCTTTGGGGAAAGTAGTGCTAAAAAAGATCTGAGACCTACACAATATTGTTTTATTTGAAGCAAATCTTTCTGAGGATTTTTGTTTACTCAGTCTCTTTCCACAACAACTTAACATAGAAAAAGTTGTTAGTGCTCTTTTTGAATAGTGATAAAAATGTATACACAACATTTAAACCTTAGGCATATTTCAAATATATCAATTTCTTTTAAATTCAAAATAATTAAATGCTAATAGAACTGTATCACTATACTACTTGTTAGAGGTTTTGAACATTGGTCTTGAGAGAAGATTATAAATGCCAGGGGTTGGTTTTCTGGGGTAATGTACCCAAATAACCTGTATATCTACATGAATCTAAATTATCCTTCATTTTCTTCCATTCCTCACTAAGCATTCCCCTCGTGTTCCTTGTTTCACCCTTGAGCTTGTGCAGTTTTGAAGTCACCAGAGCAACTGAAAACTCTTCATTTTTTTTTATTAAAAGATTTTATTTATTCATGAGAGATACAGAGAGAGAGGCAGAGACCACAGGCAGAGGGAGAAGCAGGCTCCATGCAGGGAGCCTGATGCAGGATTTGATCGTGAGACTCCAGGATCACGCCCTGGGCCGAAGGCAGGCGCTAAACTGCTGAGCCACCCAGAGATCCCAAAAACTCTTAATTCAAACTAAACTAGGAGGGATTACCTTTTGGTGCCAGTAGTTGGCTAGTGCCAAGGTACAACAACGATTAGGATAGTCACATAGAGTAAAATGAGTAATATCTGTGATACTGCACACTTCAAATTTACTCTGACATTCCCCCTTACTGATTCAACTTGTTGCTAGTTATTTGCCACCACAAAGAACACTACAATAAGCACTCTTAAAATTGGACCTTAAATATCAGATATGTTTATTTCTAGGGGATAGATTACTGGCAAGAGATTGTTAGATCAAAGGACATACGCTATTTTTTTATTTTAATAGATGCTATCAGTCATTTTCAAAAACAACTCTCCTCTAACACTGCAACAGATATATTACTTAAATTCATGTTGATGAGTATAACCACCTGCTCCTAGATTTGCTTCTTTGTAAATTTTTATAATGTTAGCTCATTTTCCTATAGGATTATTTATCTCTGTCAATTTTTAAGACCTCTTTAGACATTAAAGACATTAGGAATTTGTCTAATTTTTGTCTAATTTGTCTAATCACAAAAAAATGATTTTTCCATTAAAATACCCTAAATTTCTGTGTAACCAGATATGTATTAATTTTTTCTAAGCTTATGAATTGGTTAAGATATTTTAATCTTTCGATTGTATATTTCTTAGGTTTTCCTTGCAAGTTGTTTATTTGCTTTTTTCAATATGTAAATATCTGGTCTATCTAGAATTTAATTTTTAATGTCATATAAAAATGAGGATTCCTTGTTATTTTCTTCCATATGGGTTTCCAGTTATACAAGCACAATTTGTTAAAATAATCCATCTATTCAGCAGCTGGTCACATTGTTCTGACCAACTTGTGGTGTCCACCAACAGCAATCACAGATTTGAACCACCAATCAAAAAAACAAAACAGACTTTAACCCAGTTTATTATTAGCCTTGCCCTGACCAAAAAACCAAAAACACCTTCATAGTCCTGTGACTGCCCAAGTAAGCACAGTTTCCAGGGGAGACTCCAGGGGAGTCAAGGTCAGAATGGATGTGGTTTACCTAAGCATTGGGAAACATTAACATTCTCATCCAGGACATCTTATGGTAACTCAGTACTGCATCTGCGTGGTGTGATATACACACCCAGTTGTGAAACTGATACCCACTTAAGCACAGGGAAGCTGCTGCCTTGGTTTCCCAAGACTTATGATGCCTTAGTCACATAGACTATTGATGTCTACATGCCAATTCACAGCTTCCCCGCAACCTGCCTCAGTCCAGGTACAGGATCAACCCTAGCACCCATCACCCGACTCAAAACTAACCCGTCCCCCGGACGCCCTGTCCACAAACCCTCCCAGTGACCGATGTTCCGTGCACAACATCAAACATAACCCCCACCCCACCAAATCATTTACCCCCAGCCCCAACTCACATTCCAACAAACCCCCCCAGCACTAAAACAAACCAAACCCCATGTCCCCATCCAAGTAACAAAACATACACCCCCTACCCTCAAACATACAACACCAAACCCACCACACAAAAACACCTACACACTAACCACACAACAATCCACCCCATCAAACCCCTACTCACAACAATACAAAATCAGCAACCACCCCTTCCCCCTACCACCAATCATCCACCAAAACACAGATTCCACTAACACCCGAACCCAAAACAACCACACACCCATCCCCATATAACAATCCCCACCCCCCCATCAAAATCACAACACTAATTCCAATCCACCCCCAAACCCAAGCATACAAAATTCTCCCATCCCCAAACATCAAAACCGACATCCCCCACACCCACGTGATGCCATTGCAAATAAACACACTCTGCTCCCTTGTCTTACCGTCCGTAGTGCACCAGAACAAAGTACTTCGAATGCCATCCCTGCTTAACCTATTTTTTAAAAGTCTGTTAGTTGGGCGAATGAGAAAAATCCCTATTAGGAACTGTTGTACCCCTTCCCCAACCCTCCCCCATTCATACATTGAAGCCCTGATCTCCAGTGTGATGGTATTTGGAGATGGCACTATAAGGAAATAATTAGGTTTAGATTAGGTCATGAGGGTAGGACACTCATGATGGGAAAAGTACCCATAAAATGGAAGAGAAAGATTATAAGAGGTTGCTTTGCATGTGTATACACCAAGGAAAGGTCATATGAATGCAGCACAGAGAAAGCAGCTATCCACAAGCCAGGAATTGGACCTTCACCAGAATTTTGCCAGCACTTTGATCATGGGATTCCCCAGCCTCTAGAACTGTAAGAAATAAATGTCTGTTGTTTAAACCACCCAGTCTATGGTATTTTTTTACAATGCCCAAGCTAAGACAATCCTTTTCCTGCTTAATTATGTGCTCCTAATATGTGGTAAGACAAAAGCACTTTTCATTAGGAGAGTAAAATCCCAATTGTATTTTTGATAAGGTCTGTAATTTTTAGCAGTTTATAAAGCTTCCCCGAACTTACTCATTTAAAAGTAAAAATTATTGGAACAGGAAATAAAAATACAGTTCCTGGAGTGACATCTTAAAAACGCAGAACTAGGAATCTCCAAGCTATTGTTCCCTTACAGAAACTGGAAAAACAAAAAAACTTTCTGAGCCAACTTTGTAATACCTCTGGAAAACGGTCAATGGTTTATAGAAACAAGCAAATGCCCAAACAAGCCAAAAGCCATCTTCAAAATGTTGGTAACGTTTTGTGGCATTTTTACTCTTGTCCCAACTCTCCCTTGCGTGGTATTGTATTGATATGGACTGCCCCGTTTCACCCCTCAAACTGGAGGAAGCAGACTGGACCATGTTTCCAAATTGTATACATCTATTCTAACCTGTCTTGAGGATACATGAAGGAACAATGAAAGCATCATCTGTTTCACATTATTCAAAATGCAGGTGGAAAAGGAGCAGGTGCTGCTCCTAAAACTTACAAGGTAGATTGCAAGTTCACAGTCTGAAGATTGGACAAGTGGAAATATATAGTCAGGGAATAAGGTGAGGGTCAGTGCCTGAAAAAATTCTAAGGAAACACCAGGGGTAATGGTGTTCTGGTTAAACCAACCAAACAGGATCCCTGCTGAAGGCAGGCCAGCCTGATTACACAGCACCCGGGTGAAGGCAGAGGGTGAGGAACCTGATCAGGTATCAGGGGTGATCACATATTAAAGGTAGAGGGTTCTAGTTAAACTGACAGGGTTCTTACTAAATCTTGATTTTATAAGTAAATGCACAGATATAAAAAGTTCAAAAGTGACTAAAGTTTGGTCAAAAAATCTTTGTCACTGAATTGTTGGCACTTGGGCAAAAGTAAGACCTTGGGGTTAATTTTACTAATGAGCTATTAATGACCCATTTCAGAGACTTCTGAAAACAAACTATACATGTCGATTAGCAGTTCAAAAGAATGTCCTAAGTCAAAAGAGTTAGTATGGAAGTACTGGTCTCAAGAAGATGCAGGCAAAACTGTACTAATAAACTATTGATTTCAGAGGGTTATGGCCAGATCCATTGAGTTATAGGAAGAAAAAGCTTGGGAATGTTAATGGAGTATGCATCTTCCCTAGCCATCTATTCCCTAAATACTCTTTTTAAAAAAAAAAAAAGATTTTATTTACTCATGAGAGACACAGACTAATATAAGTATACTATCTTATGTTTAAGTCTTCTATCCATTTCTGGTTGGTTTTTGTGAGTGATGTATGATAGGAGTCCCAGTTCATTTTCCTGTCTGTGGTTATCCAGTTTTCCCAAAACCATTTGTTGAAGAGAGTATCCATTTGGTGTTCTTGGTTCTCTTTTGAATATTAGGTCCTTGTATATGCAGGTATTTAATTATACACTCCATTCTGTTAATCTTTCTTTTTTTTTCCTTTCCCTCTTTTTAATTTTTATTATAATTCCAGTTTAGTTAACATACAGTGTTATATTAGTTTCAGGTGTATAGTGATTCAGCAATTCCATACATCACCCAGTGCTCTCCTTAATCCCTACCATTTCACCCGTGCCCCAACGCACCTCCTTTCTGGTAACCATCAGTTTCTTCTCAATAATTAAGTCTCTTTCTTGGCTTGTCTGTCTGTCTTTCTTTCCTTTGCTCATTTGTTTTATTTCTTAAGTTCCACATATGAGTAAAAACATATGGTATTTGTTTTTCTGATTGATTTACTTCACATTATATTATCTAGCGCCATCCATGTCATTGCAGGCAGAAAGATTTAATTATTTTTTAATGGCTGGGTAATATATATATATATTACATATATATATATCATATCTTTTTCATCCATTCATCTCTATCAGTGGACACTTGGGCTGCTTCCATAATTTTGTGTTTCTATGTCAGTATCATACTGTTTTATAGCTTTGTAGTATAGTTTGAAATCAAGATGTGTGATGCGTCTGGCTCTGTTCTTTCTCATGACTGCTTTGGCTATTCAGGGTCATTTTGGTTCCATACAAAATTTAGGATTATTTTTTCTATCTCTGTGAAAGATGTCACTGGAATTTTGAAAGGGATTGCACTGAATCTACATGGCTCTGGGTAGTGTGGACATTTTAACAATATTAAACTTTCCAGTCATGAACATGAGACATCTTTCTATTGGTATCTTTTTCAATTTTTTTTTAAATTTATTTTATGATAGTCACACAGAGAGAGAGAGAGAGAGGCAGAGACACAGGCAGAGGGAGAAGCAGGCTCCATGCACCAGGAGCCCGACGTGGGATTCGATCCCGGGTCTCCAGAATCGCGCCCTGGGCCAAAGGCAGGCGCCAAACCGCTGTGCCACCCAGGGATCCCTCTTTTTCAATTTCTTTCAACAAAGTCTTATAGTTTTTATTGTACAGATTAAATTTATTCCAAGGTATTTTCTTGTTTTCAGTGTTATCTTGAATGAGATAGCTTTCTTCTATTTCAGATGTTTCATTGTTAGTATGTAGACATGCCACTGATTTCTGTAGATTGATACTAGTTCTTTTTTTTATTTAGATGCCTTTTATTTCTTTGTTTTGCCTAATTGCTCGAGCTAGGAGTTCTAGTACTATATTAAATAGGAGGGATGAAAATGGGCATCCTTTCTTTTTTCTTTATCTTAGAGAAAAAGCTTTCAGTTTTTCATTGTTGAATGTAATGTTAGCTGCAGTTTTCATGCATGGCCTTTATTATGTTGAGGTATGTTTCCTCTATACCCAGTCTTTTTAGTGTTTTTCTCATGAAAGGACATTGTACTTTGTCAGATGCTTTTTCTGCATGTACTGAGACGATCATGTGATTTTTATTTATCTCTTACTTAATGTGATGTGTTGTATTTATTGGTATGTGGACCTGGAAACATCCTTTCATCCCAGTCGTAAATTCCTGTTGGTCATGGTAACCTAACCATCAGTTACCTTTTTAATGCATTCTTGAGTTCCTTTTTAATGTATTCTTGAGTTCAGTTTACTAATACTTGGTTGAGAATTTTTGAATCTATATTCATTGGGGATATTGATCTACAGTTCTCTTTTCTTGTAATGTCCTTATTTGACTTTGGCATCAGGCTAATGCTGGCCTTATAGATTGAGTTTGGAAGTATTCGCTTTTCAGATTTTTGGAAGATTTTGAGAAGGATTTGCATTAATTCTTTAAGTGTTTGATAGAATTTGCCAGTGAAGTTGTCTCGGCCTGGTGTTCTGTGTTGGAAGGTTTTTGATTATTGATTCAAATTTTTTTAACTCATTATTGGTCTGTTCAGATTTTTTATTGCTTTCTGATATAGTTTTAGCAGGTTGTGTCTTTCTAGGAATTTATCCATTTCTTCTAGATCATCTAATGTGTTGGCATATTATTGTTCATAGTAGTCTCTTATGAACCTATGTGTTTCTGTATCAGTTGTAACGTCTCCTTTATCAATATTGATTTAATCTATTTGAGCCCTCTTTTTAGTCTAGTTAGAAGTTTGTTGTTTTTGCTTAGGTTTATAAAAACCAGCGCTTAGTTTATTTTTTTTTATTTTTTTTTTACCAGCTCTTAGTTTAATTTCTCATTCTATAGTTCTGTTTCTGGTTTGATTTCATTTATTTCCAAAAAGAAAATATAAAGATGCTCCTCAACATTTGCCTTAGCAATAACTTTTTGGATATGACACCAAAAACAAAAGCAATAAGCAAAAATCAGTGAGTGGGACCACAGAAAACTTAAAAGGTTCTGCACATCAAAAGAAACAATCAACAGAATGAAAAGCAACCTACAGAATGGGAGAAATTATTTGCAAAGTATACATTGG